CAAGTGCCTTCTGGACTTGGGGTCCGGCTCCCTGGACTCAGGGGAACAGGATGCAGCCAGCTCCTGCTCCTCTCTGCTCTTATTTAATGGTCCCTCTTCTGAATAAAGGGACAGAGTTTCCATTAGCCTTCACCCTCCCTCTCTCCAGCCCCAGCCCTCAGCCGGCAGGCACTGACCCCCGAGCCCTGCCTGGGGCTGGGATGCCAGCAGCAAGGAGGCAGCTGCCAGGCCCTCCTCTGCATCCCTCTGTGCCGGGGCTGTCCCCAGCCAAACGTGGGGAGAAACTACAGCGTACGCAAGAAATGAAGAGTGAGTTTTACTTCAGTAACTGAGAGAAGAAGCTGTACAAAGGTATTTCTCCCCCTGAGCCACCTGGGGCAAGGGTGGATTTTTTTTTCTTTTTTCTTTTTTTTTTTTTTTTTGCAACAGACTCAAAAGAGCAGAATAAAAAGTTTGACACATTCACAAAGTCAGTGCTGAAACCAGCCAGGTCCCAGGTGGCCGAGAACAGCGAGTGTGCCAGCCCCACACCCGCAGCCATTCCACCGTGCCCAGACCCCCTCCTGCGGCCATGCTCCACTGCCAGCACCTCTCTCCGGATGAGCATCCTCCAGCCCACCCCAGGGTGGTGGAGGCTGCCCCAGCCTGCCCCTCACCTTGGCCAGGAGGGAGCCCACGGCCGAGGAAGGGGCTGCACCACTGCTGCTGCAGCATGGGTAACACGCAGCACCGTGGACTAGGCTCTGCTGGCAGCCTCCGAGGGCCCGGCCATGCGTTGGAGAAGCAGCATGGGAAGGAAAGCTGGCTCCAGCCCCTGCCCGCCCCATAGGGCAGTGGGGAGCTCCAAGTCAGCTCTGGCTTCAGGGGTCAGCTCCCCACTGGAGTACTTACATGCTGCTGCCCAACATGCCTCGGGTACGATGCTCACACCCAGGCGGTGCAAACGGTGCCAGTCCAGGCTGCTGGGGAGGGGTGGGGGAGGAAGGGGGAGGCAGTCACAAAGCCCTGGCACATGAGCCTGCTGTGCAGCAATGGGTGCTGCCATCCCAAGGCTGCTGCAGGGTTGTCTCTCCAAAGGGTTGCTGGTGCCGGAGCAGGGCTGGGGAGCAGGCAGCAGCACGCGCAGAAGCGCACGCTCAGCTTGCTGCAAAGGAGAGCTGGGCCTCTCCAGTCCATGTAAAAACCTCCTCCCCCCCAGAGCACAGTGCCTACAGGACATGGCTGGGTTTGTGGTTTTGTGGTTTTGTTTTTTAAACAGTTCCCAAAAAGCATCAAAAGTAGCCCCAAAAACGCTCCCTGGTGGTCAGCTCAATCTGGTACTAAAAAGTGCAAAATTGTATCACAAAAACCGTTCAAAAGTTGTAAGAAAGCGGGGAGGGTGCAGAGGTGGCTGGAGTGGCAGGGAGGGGAACGGGTGCCATCGCCCTGGCTCCCCTGGCCACCAGCCCCAGGAGAGGGGACAGGACAGGCCTGGCCCCCTCCTCTCTACCCCCCATGGCACAATGGAGCTGGAGGAGAAGCAGCCGCTGGCTTTGTTTTGCTGCGTTTTTGTCTTTTTTAACCACTGAAGAATTGAGCCCAGTGAGTGGGTTTCAGTTGTTCCCCTCCGCAGGGTGG